GTGTGTGTGTGTGTGTGTGTGTGTGTGTGGGTGGGGGTGGGTGGTGGGGGGGCAGGGGGGGAGTGTGCTTCGTGTCATACAGCAATCACTTTCCTTGAGCATTTTCATCTAAAACCCACTGGCACACTTTCAGAAAGCACTCTCTACATCCTCCTTTCACGTTACGCTCCCTTAATCCCCCCGTTTCTTTTCTCTTTGTTTTTCAGCTTCCCTCCTTCTATTTCTCTCTCGTTCTCTCTGTGCATCTGTCTCTATCGGTCTCTCTTTCTTCATTCCTTCCCATCCATCTGTCTATTCCTATTCTGTTCGTGGGTAAAAGGTTTGGTAGAGACTCTCAGGTTTTTTTTCAAGAGGCCCGCCGTTGAATGCGCAGTCAGCAGAGAGAGCTCAACATTTGTCAAGAGGTGAAATGCAGTATGGAACAGCAAGTGCCACCCTGATCCATTGGATTGTATTTCTCAGTATTTATACTCCAATGTCAATGCTAAGATTAAAATGACCTCGGGCTCATCCCCAATTCTCCTGGGGATTTTTTTTCACAACAAGAGAATATGTCTGAGCAGTGAAACCAGAGCATATAAAATCCAAGCTGTTTAGCCTGACTCTAACCTTCTGCAAAACTTTAAATAACCTGCAGCAGAGCAGTGGAGCTAATACACCAGGCATCGTGGCAGCTTCACTAATGACTCACTGTGCATAAGTTAAACTGTTGTTCCTACTATAGCTGCAGCTTAATATAACACCATAATAAACGTAGAACAGCAGAATAGAAAAACTAGGATATTTTCGCCTTTAACATCCCAACACCAGTAGTAGCATTTAAAAATATTTAAACCTCATACTAGACGAAGCAGTGATACATATTGTATTATTCATTTGCCAGCTTGTTCGTTTTCTTTTTCTTTCAAGCAAAGTTACTGCTGTAGCTTCTTGCCTGTATTCTGTCCAGTGTGACTGATTTGCACAGCTACAGTTTAAACAGTATAAACAGCACTGTACCTGTAACAGGTAATGACAGCAAAGCAGTAATCACACAGTGGGTTGTTTTCAGATTTGATGTTCAACAAGGTTGGAATATTGGTCAGCATCAAAAATAATTATTTTTATAAATCAATAAATAGTTATGTACTTTCTTGCCAAGAGTTAGATGAGAGGATTGATATACCACTATCATATCTGTACACTAAATATGAAGATACAACCAGGAGAATTTAGCTTAGCATACAGCATAGCATAAACTGGAAGCTTTTTCCCTCTTTTTCCAGTCTTTATGCTGAGCTAAACTAAGTTAGCAATCTACTAGCTATATATTTACTCATCTAACTCTCTGCAAGAAAGAGATCAAGCATACTTACCAATGTCAAACTGTTTCTTTAAGGATATTAAATCACTGGGAACAACTAATATATCCATTATATAACTTTTCTTTCTATTTATTCTAAGTGAAATTCAATAAAAACAGCAAGGACCTGCTAATTCCCCTTGGCTGACAAATAGAGGTGAAACGATTCATCAATTAATTGATTGACAGAAAATTCACTGGCAACAAATTTAATCAATTAATAATTGTTTGAAGTCACTTATCAAGTTAAAATGACAAACATTTAGATGTTCTAGCTTCCCCAATGTGAGGATTTGTTGCTTTTCTCTGTCAATGTTGATTGAACATCTTTGGTATTTGGACTGTTGCTCAGACATAAGACAGATGCCACCTTGTATTCTGGGAAACATTTTCACTATTTTCTGACATTTTATAGACAACCCATTAGTAAAATAATAAAGAAACCTGACAGATTAATCAGCTGTCAAGATTAGCCATTGACTAAATACACCCTTGCAAAGATATGTTGCTGACAAAAGACAACCTTCGAAGCGAGTCCTTACTTTTCATACGTAGCGGTGACGAAGAATGCGTAGACTTGTGTGTGCTTATGATGTCGGATTTGAATGATGAGCTCTGGGATTCCCAGCCGGATGTGGTTCAGTAGCCATAGCAACGTGTGGTCATCTGTAGTGTCTGTGGCAGGAAATGAAGAATAAAAATACATTTTCAGCTATACCCACACATCACTGTACAGGGGAGCTTACAGAGTACTCCCACAGTCTTGTACTATTTATTCATGAGCAGCAGCTGGAAGTTAAATGTCGTTCTAACAAACACTTGAGAATGACTCTTCTTCTCTGCTTAAGCTGGTTCAGGCTATGGCTAAAACAGTTTAGTGAGGTAGTATCATAAACTAATGGTCCTCATCATTATTATCAACAGTATATAACTATTGATTCCTACTGTTGCAGATAATGGTTTCCATTATCTGCTGCTCAGTGGTAGGTTGGGATTTCTGTGCTCTTTAAGAGATACATAATCTTCTAAAATGAATTCAAATGGGAGAAAGTAAGAGATATAAAAGAGGATTGCTTTCTTCTTTGCCTGGAGAATGAGTAGGCACATTTACAGCTTTATATTTCTAACACAAGTTCAGAATGAAGAAATTGTACTTAGTGAGAGCTAATATTTAGCGTGTCCGCTCTTCTTGAAAGGCCTGTTGGAGGCTTAAAATATGCTGTTATGGTTAAGTAGAGCTAAAACAATTAGATGATAAGACAGAATTATTTGGTGACTATTTTCTGTAACTGATTAATAGTGATAAAGTCCCTTTTCAAGCAGAAAAAGCTTCTCATCTGGGAGGATTTTCTGCTTTTCTTTGTCTCATATGATCGTATACTGAATATCTTTAGGTTTGAACTGTTAGTTGAACACAACAAAACAATTAAGCCCATATTAATTTGAGCTATAGAAAAATGTGTTTGGCTTTTTTTTGTATAAACACATGATTAACACATTATCAGAATCTGTTAGATACACCTAGGTTTAGGTGAGGGTCAGGGCTGACCTTACGCATGTTGTTGTGATGATTAAGATTAAGGTTAAGGGTGAATTATGTCTATGTTCTATATTATGTATAGAAATAAAAACAAGGGAGTGTGTGTTTGAGTGTCTGACCTGCAAATGTCATGAGGACATCACAGTTCTCTGTGGGCACGGTTTTCATCCAAGACTTATGAGACATGATGTGTCTCCCAGCCTGTAGCAGCCGCTTTCCAAACAACTTATCTGAGAGGGAGAGAGACAGAGAGAGAGGCAGAAACAGGGGGAGAGAGACAGGCATGGGGAGAGATGGAGAGAGTCACCTTTTCAAAGTGAAACAGTGTAAGGAGCAATGACATTTCAACATTTTCAGCAAACCTCCCTCCAAAACTCTTACCCCTGCTGCCCCGTTACACACACAGACACACACAAAACCGTCCTTCTCGACGGGACAGATTTAAATGTCACGCCGCTTTGCCTCACAACACAAGATTGACAGAACTAATCCTGCCCTGCCAAGACCAGAGGCCACACATTGTCCACACTTTCCGAACTGTCACATACACACAAACACTCAACTCAATCAACTCAACACATGTAAGTGCAGCGATTTCTCACTGTTGGTATGTGTGCACACAAAAAAGCCTTAAATAACAAAGGAACGCTCTTTAAAGTTCACAGCACGATAGGTAAACATTTCGTCTATGAGTATACAGCCAGTACAGTAAATTCTACTCTTGTGTAGAATTACCTTGTCTCTATTCCTGAAGCCAACAGCACACCAAAAATAGCTCCACTGTAGCCACACAGTAATGTCACATTATAACACGGCCGCCCTTATTGCAGCAGTCTGAAGGAAAATAATACACAGCATATATTTCTTCTAGGGTGGATACTGTTACGTCATGGAAACATTTTTAAAAAAACTGCCATTTTTGTGACAGGGTTCAAATCAACTTTATCGCTGCTCTGACATCTCATTCATCATGTCACCGATCCTCTAGAGTCTCTATTTCCACTTATATGTACTTCAGAAAGGCAGCAGTGCCAATAGTTTAAACAGAACTAAGTGATTCTGTAACCATTGTAACCTCAGACCCTGCTCAGCTGTCAAAGTCTGTGAAAACCATTTCCCGAGTCCTGAATAATAATGACAGCAGCCTGGAGAGAATGCCCATCCCACAACAGTCTTGTGATCACTGAGCCATGGAGCGCCAGACGAGCCGGAAAGTGGGGCACTTTCTAGAGCTCACACATGGGCGCGTTTAGCATCACACGATTAATCCATACTACTTGTTTGTTTTTATGTATTTAAAAGCAGTAGAAAATGTGATGAGACCAAAATATGAAAGCTACATATCATCTTACACCTGAAGTACACGTACATCCTGGTTTATGTATTGCTCACATGGTTACAAAAGTGAATGTGCACTCACAAAGGTCAAGGCCATGGCAGGCTGTAAATTTAACCATGATATCACCACTACGAGCTTGGCGCTGTAAATCACGCTGTATCTCTGCGCGTTCTGTGGATCCAATAAACACCTGTCACATAAAACCATCATTGTGCTGCTGCTCAGTGTTTCCCCCTACTCCCTGGAACAGTGGTGACAGAGAGGGACACACAGGGGGGTTCCCAGAAACAAGCCTGATAGCGTTTCCAGAGAATATATTGGTTCTAAACATTTACAGTATGTATGCACATATGCACTGCACCAACATGAAAATAAAGCTGCTGCACAAATAAGTCACCGTGCAATTTTCAACAGGTGCAAGTCATTTATTTTCTTAAAGATTAGGTCTGCTGGCACAGTCTGTGTTTTCAAAGCTGCACTAATCATTTTTACATAAGCAATGAAATAAATTAAGTGTAATTTAAAGGGGTCACTAGTGTATCCAACACAGAATTATCACCCAGCTCTGCAGTACTCTTCAGCCCTGTGGAAGCCTTTTAGTCTATTTTGGACCAATGTTTTGGTTTTCTGCCTCTCAACCTCATTTCCAGCCACAGTGGGCAGATGTTTTTAGCTAAAAAGCTGTAATAAACCCACTGTACACAACTTATGCACGACCCACTGCACCAAACAGCAGAGATGCAACTTGGTGGTGAAAATAGTGGAGCCTTTAGCAGCTTAAGAGCTCTTTTCCTCAGGAGTCTGTGGAGACCAAAACAGAGCTAC